AAAACATTAAACATGTTAACAACACAAAAGCCATATTAAACGCAGACTACTTTAGGCCCGGAAGTAGGATTCGTCACGTCATCACTTAACAACCGCATAACAGTGCTTATGACTTTTTTTTTTGTTATATTAAGGACTATAGTGCATGGTACTTTGACAAGATATCATACCATTAAATACACATTGAAACAGTAGAGGTCAGAAAGTTTGATTATATTGAGTAATGAAAACAAGATGTGGATAAATGTGACAAACTGTTAAGAGTCCTCCTCCTTCCTTGGTTTGCTTAGTCACTCTGTCAGACACTGTGTCTTATATGGTGAACATTAAAATATTTAGCAAAGGATGCAACTGTGCATCATCCATTATCGCTCCCAATGCAAGTCTTCTGTCTCTCTTTCCTTCAGATGCTTGTAAGGGATTGAGACATTCTTCATCTGGGTGTACTGATATTGACTTCTGGATCACAGGTAGGAGGGCAAAAGAGGAAAAAAGGAACAATGATGAAATGAAATCAGAAAAGCCCAGTGTCTAGGTCATTAGTTTAATTTGCCCTTGTCTCTTTTTACCTGTGTTTCATCATTGATCTGCTCAGTAAATGTAATATAGTCTTGCCTATCAACTTGTGTGTTGTCAGATCATCTGTTGGTTCTGTGCGTTCCTCATTCTTCTTGTACCTTTTTTGTTGGAAAGTGTTTTATTTTACTTTTTGATCAGCCAATACAGCCTTGATTTTTGTTTTGAATCTCTTTGTATATCTGTCTGTACATCCTGTTCTCTCCTGCTACTCCTGTGCAAATGACAGGATGCAAGATAGTTGTTAAGCAGCTGGTGAAGTCAAGAATATAACTATATCCCATGTAGTGGCTTTTTTGATGACATTACCAAAATGTACAGCCATGTTTATTTAGACTTTTAACAAATTCCAGCACAAGACAGGTCAATAATCTGTTTTATTTATTTAAATATATTTAATTTCTTTAGCCTTGTTAGATTAAGAATTTAATAACTGCTGTCACAGGTAATTAAAGATTGTTAGCAGTTTTAAATGTATTATAAAACGCCATTACCATAAGTTTCATGTTAATTTTCCACGCCTTAGGTCTGTTAGCTCTGCAGCACCAACATCTTTCACCAGTATTGATGACTTTACTAAACTAATGACCAATCAGAACAAGAAATGAATAGTTTTATTTCCCATTTTTCTGTTCTATAGGCTCAGCCTCTAAACTTTTCTTTGGTTTGGTTTGCCATCCTCATTTTCTGTTGATGGAAAGGGCTCTATGTGTGTGTATGCGTGTGTGTCTGTGTATGTGTACCTTATTGTCACAAGAGTAAATGGATGCACATGTGGTTAGGAAATTTAGTGTTGATACACTTTTTGTTTAGATTATGCTGAATTTAAGGGTCATAAGTCATGGTCATGCTTACCCACTTTCAAATTTTGGGATGTATTTTGCTAGGACAGGCGACTGACTCTGAGGTTTCTCTGTGCAGAGGCTTGGCTTACTTTCTTTAACAGATTGCTCACTACTGTGCGTTTTTGGGTACATCCAGCAAGGAGGAAACCTCTGTGTAGACCCAGGAAACTCTGTTGGGATTTGGTTTCCCTGTATGCCAGAGGGCACCTGGCGGAGCCCCAGGAGGTGCTTGAATTAGTCACTACAAAGCTCCTCTGCTCTAGTGACGCAAAGCTCATTTTCAAAGCAGCTTCTTTTCTTGACATCACAATCCTGCACCCGCACCCTAGATTGGGGTATTAATATTGCATAATGAAGTGTTCATACAACAGTGGTAGAAGGTCCAATATCCCCAGTCTTGAGCAGAAAGACTGATGATGATGTGTTTTCCACCTCAGCAAACCTATTAATGCAAGTTTGTGCAAGGCACTGAAAAAAATAGATGACTAACCGTGAATCAGTCGTTTCTGGAACTGAACAAACACCAAAATGCAAACCATTAAAATTTAAATTAGATATGGGATGGATTTCTAAAAGCTTTGGGAATTTTTGAAAAACCTTCAAAGTAGATTTGTTTACAGAGAATTAATCAAATATTAAACTAGTCACAAGTCTCTCTTTTGCTCCCACTGGCAGGAAAAATGATGTTTTAATTAGAGTGAGACCAAGAATGAGATATTGAATTGCTCAGTTTGAGACCTAAAGTATTACAATATTTATGAACTCCCCACAACAACACTGATTCAATTAGAAATGAAATTATTTTATAACTGCAATTGATGATAATCCAGCTTTATTTCCTTCTACCAATAGAGGGCAGCAGCACTACTGCAACACTCTGCAAGTCTTCATACTTTATCTGCTCTGAAAACTCCTTTAGCCTTAGTCCTGCTGTCTGCACCAAGAGCTGTGTGCAAGTCTGTGTAGTGATGAAGAGTAGTTGGACTATTAGCAAGAGCTTTAACTTTTGCCTGTGGCCACTAAGAATATAAGTTTAACTCAAATATTGAGCTGATTATATATGTATATATGTATCACCTGTCACAACAAGCCTCGTTTCACCCCCACAGTCATTGTGCACTGTGTGGATTTTCCAACATCATAACAGATAAGTTCAGCTTAATTAAATGTGATCAACTATGACTGAGCTGTCATCCAGCGTTTTTGTCATATGCTACTTGTTAAAGCATCTATCAATGAAGTTGACACACAACACACACTCCCGCAGGATGATGCATGATAAATATGGCTGAAAAAAGACGCGCCTCAAAACCAAAACATGTTAGCAAGTTCATTAAGTTGATAAATGGGCTGTAAAAATAAAAGCAGAGCTGCTGAGAAATCAGCTAAAATGAGTACGCTGCTTCCGTGGATAGTTTTACTCGAGTTTGGTTTACAGACTTGGGGAAGATAAAGGACGAATCAAAGTTTGTAGAGCTCTCCGACTCTCCTGACATCAACTGAAAGAGAGAGAGAGAGAGAGGGAGGGAGGGAGAGGGGACGAGGATTTTGGGGGAAACCTAAATACAAATCTGTTTGCCTCTCTCGCTCTCACAATCGCCAGGCGAACCAGTCTGTTGCGCCACTGCGCTTTCAACTTTTTTTTGTATGTGTGTGATTATAACTCCTTTACCACTCTCACTTTTTACTCCCTGGCAGCGGAGGGATGTTCCTTGGAAGGAGGTTACACCCCAGCTGAATATTCTCACCTTGGAAGGTTTAGAAGCTAGGCTCATAAGTTCTCGGAGAGTTTGGGAATGGAGAACATTTGGGGAAACTTTTACGCATTGAGCTGAGTGACGCACGAATAGATATTTAAAGCTTTTGTCTAGCGTGTCATATCTACGTTATTGTCTTCTTCGTCACTGGCAAAGGGATGTTTTAAGTAGACTCGTAGTTACCGAGTCTCTGGAGAGAAGTTTTCTGAATTCGTGCAACAGCGAACTTAATTTGATTTCGGCTTGCGTTTTTCTTTCTTTTTTCCAAAAATTCTGCCACAGAAAAAACGTCCTGTCTTCAACTTACACAGGATCCGCACTTCCACGGTGTCTCCTTCACCCCCCGCGGATTTTCAATTAACGTCTGTTGGAAGTAATTTCGGTGGATTGCTATAATGCCTCCGACCACGCCGGAGAAGCGCGCCGCGCTCTGCCGGGTTTGGGCTCTAGCTTTCGCTCTGCTGGTGTGCGCTACATCGGTGAATGGATGCCCACACAAGTGTAGCTGCTCCGGATCTCATGTGGACTGCCAGGGTCTGGGTTTGAAGACTGTGCCCAAAGGAATACCGAGGAATGCCGAGCGCCTGTAAGAGCAGTTGTTTTATTTCAACTTATCTGTAATTGCATCCATTTAACCAAAGTTCATCATAGAGGGCACTCTGACCTTATTATTCACCTTTTCTCCCTTTGCATTACTCCCATGCTCCTGAATTGTGGATAGTGCATTTTAAACTTAACATGCTCAAAATATTCCCGCTCACTTGATATTTGGACATATCAACTATGTCTGAACACATTTTTTAAAAACATCTCGAAAACTTAGTCGTGCATTGTTAAACTTTCATCACTTGAACATAACGGTACTTATTTCATACAGCAGGCTACTGTAATAGCATCCATGTGCATCAACATCCCATTTAGTTAATTAAATTCATGTTTTTATATTATCTTATAAACCCTCGTCCTGTATGTAAAACTGGTACTATTTATGGTACTTTTTTTTTTTTTAATTTTTTTTATCGTTGTTGCCATGATTACTACTCAGGCTATATAAAGTTGGGACATAACTGTTGTATAAAAGTGGATAAAGCTTTTTTTTTTTTTTTTTTAGACGATGACTGACTTTATGTGGCTTTTAAAAATCTTAAGGAAACTATTGCTATCAAAAATCCTGTCAGCATATTACTCAAAGGGTACATCTTACTGTAAAAAGCTGCAATACCTTTAGTTTAAAATACTATTTTATTCTAGCTTAATATATTGCATACACAAAAGTCACCTGCGACCCCCAATGAACAGAGGTCGTTAAGAAAACAGTCACCAACTATGTTTTTAGAGAAAGCTTTTGAAATTTTAAACGGGTCAAAGAAAATGTGAGAAAATCGCCTTAAATCACTTTAAATTGTATTCTTTCACATGCCTGGGTAAGACTTTCTAAAGTTTTGTAGAATATGAGTAAAACTGAACTAGATCCTCAGTGTTTTTCACTTCAAGAACTACTGTTTCTTTCTTTCGTTATTCTTAGCCTGGGTGACGGTTTAAAATCATATTCATTCCTTAGGCAGGGACAGAACTCTGACAGGCGCTGCTGCCACCTCCAGCCTGATCTTGACACGTATACATCAGCGCAGCCACACACATGCACTCACAAACACACACCTTTGCTATTAAGGTATGGAAGTGATTATGCATGACAACAGAGCAGCCAAAAGCCCTGCAGGGGATCAACAACAGACCTAACCTGAGACAACAAACACAATCAGTAGGCTGCTGAGGAAAGTGGGGGGTCATGTTTGTGAATGTGTGTGTGTGTGTGTGTGTATGTGGGGGGTACTGGTGGATATGAACATGTGATCAGCATGTGTGTGCGGGTTTTTGCTTGGCTGAGTTGTTTCATATGTTTGTGTGGCTGCGTGTTTGCACTGGCTGGTGTGATTGCTTTTCTTGTGTGTGTATGTGTGAGTGTTAACAATGAACCGCCCATACCTCTGCTATTCAACAGGGCTGTTGTGACCTCCTAGGACCTGTTGGCTTTTGCACAGTAATCCCCCGAAGACATTTAGACCCAAGAAAAATAAATAATTAGATCAGGTTGTGATGGGGAGGTGGGATAACGGGGTCTTCTGCGGCTCCCTGGGGTCCCCAGGGTGGAATATTTGGGGTAGCAGCGCCCCCTCCCTCCCTTTTCAGTCCAGAAACTCTGTGTTTATGTTTCTCTGATTTATCCAGGTCAGTGTTTCAGATGTAACTTTGGCCAAGAGTTGCTCTTTGCCTCCCTGTTTTTCTACCTTCATCTCGTTCTCCCTCTGCAGATATATTTCAGGGAGTCTGAGTTGGGAAACATTCAAATGGATGAGATTCTAGTCCTAAAGGTTACAACAGACACTTTGTTTTAAGAGAGATGAGCATTATTGGCCTAAGCAGGGATTTGATTTTGACAGTTGCGATAAAGTTCATGTGGACAACAGATTCTTGTAACAAAAAAGTTGTTAACTTCTAAGTAAAAGTTGTAAATTTCAAAAAGTTTCTCAACTATAATTGAATACATCCACACTTCACCACTGACACATTTACAGATTGCAAAAGCCTAAGGTGATGATTTCCATTGGCAGAGATTCTTTAAGACTACAAGTTTTTATTTTTTTCATCCATATTTCAAGACTTTCCGGGCTTTTTCTATGGTATACTAACACAGCGGTCCCCAACCCCC